TAGAGAGATAGATATACATATAATTAATATCACTTAATCTGAGGGTGGGCTCCTTGGACAAGGTCTCCTTGGGCTGGATTTTCCTTTGTAGCCTTACCTTGAAGTTATTAATCATAATCGAGCCTTACCTGTATACAATATGATTTTGTGATCATCATGGGAATTATCTAAATTAATATTCAGAAACCATGACAGCCATTTGATAATATGAAGGCATTTTTTTTCTGAGTAGAGAAGCCATTCTTGAACAGTCAAATAATGTACTCAAGGTCACAGGATTAGGAAATGGTAGGGCGGGAATTCACCCCCTCACTTTTAAGCTAACGTTGTCCTTCTTGTTGAAAGTTTTTTTATCCTTGGCCCCTCTTTAGATATATTAACTACTCAGTGTTCCTTTTATATGGCCCACTTTCCTCCCTTATTGTCTTGTCTATGCTCCCTTTAAAGTCCCTTCCAACTCTCTATTAAATGAGAAATATTGAAATCAAAACTACAGACGCATTTGAACTTTCCTATCACAGAACCAAAAATTCCATTTTTATTATGTTTTATAAGTACATACAGAACTACAACTTTATATTGACTGTATATACTATATACTAATATTCTGGTCTTTATAGAGGGAGCTAAATAATTTTAGTAATGAAAGTTCATAATTATGTAACACCGCAAAGAACATTTTTGGACAGGCTGATTCAGACTTTCCACCAAAGCATCACACGGGCCTAAAAGACAAGCTCTTCACACACTGCTAGCACATTGTTCTCTATGGCTTTGCTTTTCTGATGAAGTCTGTCCTTAAGAAAGAAGCTCCATCGTGGATGACACAGAACAGAGAAAATGCTCTCTGGCTTTCCTGTCTGGTTGGTAGGTTTGTCCTTTTCCACACATGCACACATTTACTTCCAACTCCACCCTGGAAGATGCTGTATAAATGAGTCATAGTGAACATACTTTCTTGAGGTGTTTTTGAACAAGTCCTTTCATGACATGCTGTACATATTTACTTTGAATGACTGTGAATTTTAAAGGTGGATTTAGGAAGCCAATAAAATGGCTGGAATTCATGTCTCTTCTCCATCTTTAATTTAGAGCAACAGAACTGAGTCCAAATGTGAGAGGAATAGAACCTAGGAGCCATCTCACTTACCCGGGAAGCAGCCCAGAGAAGTGTGGCTAACAGACTCTGAGTGGGATGCTATTCTTTGTCTTCCTGAACCGACTTGCAGCATCACAGCGCAGTTCCTATCTAGCCATGTTTTTCCTATTGTCATTTTTGTGAGCTCTCTGTTTTAGAATTGTGTATTGCCTGGAACCCTGAGAGGATGAAATCATATTTGCAGATTCAGGGTAATGGATTGAATCTACTTGCATGGCTTTTGATCTTTAGTTTAAGATGACGAGTGTAAGATGTTTTCTCTTAACTGCTGTTATGAAGAACAGAATGCTTCCTTAAACTGATTGAGGACAGCTCCCAAGCTCCACTAAGGAAAAATAATGAAACCATTAATTAGTTAAAAAAAATTATGTTCCTTCTTTTGTTTTTTTTGTTTGCCTTTTTTTTTTTTCTGATACAGAGTTTTTCTGTATCTTTGGAGCCTGTCCTGGAATTAGCTCTTGTAGACTAGGCTGGTCTCGAACTGAAAAAGATCCACCTGCCTCTGCCTCCCCAGTGTTGGGATTAAAGGCGTGCACCACCACCCAGCCCAAATTATATTCTTATCTCTCTCATTTTGCCCTTTGCTATTCAGTCAACCCTGTATGATTGCCTCTGTTCTCAATTTTATAATGAAATTGGTGACTTGGTACCTGAGAAAAGAGACAGTCAGGTTTAGAAGGATTGTTTATGCAATAAAGCTCTTACCTCTGTGCTCAAAGCTGGAGACGTTGTCACATCTTGTAGTCCCAGTGATGGTGAGATGGGGACAGGCAGGTGGACTCTTGGAGCTCATTGGCCAGCTAGCCTAGCCTACCTGGAGAAGTTTAGGCCCCTGAGAACACTGCCTGAAACAAAAAGCTGGAAGATGCTCAAAAGAGGGCATTAGATGTTGTCCTCTGGTCTCGGCACTTGTGCACCCCTTACACACATAAGTGCACATCCACTGAGCTGTGCATGCATGCACGGACACACACACACACACACGCCATCTAGGAGAGAAAATTCATGATTACTATTTTATAGAAGAGCAGATATTGTGATTATGAAATGAAAGCTTTGGATATTTCTGGATCGATGGCACCAACAAGTAAACGTCTGATATGGTGGCATACATCTTTAATTTCAGCATTCAGAAGGCAGAGGCAGGGGGATATCTGTGATTTTGAGACCAGCCTGATCTACAGATCTATAGAGAGTTCCAGTCCATCCACAGCTACCTGGTAAGACTGCATTTTAGAAGTAACAACAAAAATATTGTAGTGTGTTATTATATGATCTGAGATCAAATAGATCATGGAATTGTGAACTGTGTGTGTGTGTGTACATACATACATGCACACACGTGTATATATACTACGGGGAAACTGTACCCATAAATTCTCAACAATATGGCCACTTAAACAAGAGTTAAACAGTTATAATAACACTTAACCATCAATATGGATGGGGGTGTAATGAGGAGCTGTGGGCAGGCCTGTTTTCGTCCCATCTGGGCTCCTGTACACCTGGCTAGCTTATGCCCCGAAATAATAACACACAAATTATATTCATTTAAACACTGCTTGGCCCATTAGCTTTAGCCTCTTACTGGCTAACTCTCCCATCTTGATTAACCCATTTTTTTGTCTCTTAATACTTTGTTTGGATTTTTTTATTTTTTAATTAATTTATTTATTTATTTATTTATTAAAGATTTCTGTCTCTTCCCCACCGCCACCTCCCATCCCCTCCCAATCAAGTCCCCCTCCCTCGCCAGCCCAAAGAGCCATCAGGGTTCCCTGCCCTGTGGGAAGTCCAAGGACCACCCAACTCCATCCAGGTCTAGTAAGGTGAGCATCCAAACTGCCTAGGCTCCCACAAAGCCAATACATGCAGTAGAATCAAAAACCCATTGCCATTGTTCTTGATGTCTCAGTAGTCCTCATTGTCCGCTATGTTCAGTGAGACCGGTTTTAACCCAGGCATTTTCAGACCCAGGTCAGCTGGCCTTGGTGAGTTCCCGATAGAACATCCCCATTGTCTCAGTGTGTGGGTGCACCCCTCGCGGTCCTGAGTTCCTTGCTCGTGCTCTCTCTCCTTCTTCTCATGATTTGGACCTTGAGATTTCGGTCTGGTGCTCCAATGTGTGTCTCTGTCTCTGTCTCCTTTCATCGCCTGATGAAGGTTAATATTCAGGTGGATGACTATATGGTTTTTTTTTTGGGTTCTCCTTCTTATTTAGCTTCTCTAAGATCAAGAATTATAGGCTCAATGTCCTTTGTTTATGGCTAGAAACCAAATATGAGTGAGTACATCCCATGTTCCTCTTTTTGGGTCTGGCTTACCTCACTCAGGATAGTGTTTTCTATTTCCATCCATTTGCCTACAAATTCAAGAAGTCCTTGTTTTTTACTGCTGAGTAGTACTCTAATATGTATATATTCCATACTTTCTTCATCCATTCTTCAATTGAAGGGCATCTAGGTTGTTTCCAGGTTCTGGCTATTACAAACAGTGCTGCTATGAACATAGTAGAGCATATACTTTTGTTGTATGATAAGGCCTCTCTTGGGTATATTCCCAAGAGTGGTATTGTTGGGTCCAGGGGTAGGTTGATCCCGAATTTCCTGAGAAACCTCCACACTGCTTTCCAAAGTGGTTGCACAAGTTTGCATTCCCACCAGCAATGGATGAGTGTACCCCTTTCTCCACAACCTCTCCAGCAAAGGCTATCATTGGTGTTTTTTATTTTAGCCATTCTGACAGGTGTAAGATGGTATCTTAAAGTTGTCTTGATTTGCATTTCCCTGATCACTAAGGAAGTTGAGCATGACTTTAAGTGTCTTTTGGCCATTTGAACTTATTCTATCGAGAGTTCTCTGTTCAGCTCAGTGCCCCATTTTATAATTGGGTTGATTAGCCTTTTATGGTCTAGTTTCTTGAGTTCTTTATATATTTTGGAGATCAGACCTTTTGATTAACCCATTTCTAATAATCTGTGTAGCACCATGTGGTGGTGGCTTACCGGGAAGGATCTTAACCTGTGTTCATCTTGGAGAGGAGAGCTATATTGTCTGCCTTACTTCCCTTCTTCCTCCCAGCATTCTGTTCTGTCTTCCCCACCTACCTATGTTCTGACCTATCAGGCCAAGCAGTTTTCTTTATTACTTAACCAATGAGAGTAACACATAGACTGATGACCCTCCTCCATCATGGGGGAAATCTTACAGAAACTCACTCCTAGATAAAGACTTGTAGACAATTAACAACTCATTAAAAGAGGGATAATTAGTTTTCTCCTAGGATGAGCCCTCCATTTTATTATTTAGTATCAAGTGGCAGGTATTAAAACATATAAATAGGGGCAACACAAATGGAATTAGCAGGTTTCATATATACATATATATATATATATATGTAACAATAGTTATTAAAGGAAAAGAGACTGTGGATTTGAGAGAGTTCTGAGGGAGATGTAGAAGGGGAAGGCTGGAGGAAGGGGAGGGGAGAGAGGGAATGATATAATACATATATGAAATTTAAAAATTCTCTACAGACAAGATTCACAGCCTTCACGAAATTTGGACTACACGGTGTAGAAATGTAGAGCTTCGCACTTAGCCTAAGAAAGGACTTGAGGAATGGGAAGTGTGGCGAGGACAAGCTCCAACTCTTAGCACAAAACTAAAAGAAAATAAAAAAAACCCCACTGTGTTAAAAATTTTAAAATGAATCCATGTGACTTTGGGCCCAAAATGTTATTTATCCGAGAATGAAGATGTTGGAATAAAACTGGTTTTGAGGTTCTTTCTGGACTGAACTTTATAGTTCTGTGGCTTAGAGGTTTTTTTTTTTTTTTTAGACCAATTCAATACAACGAATTCTGTGAAATGTGATACCAAGAAGTCGAATTTGCTAAGGGAAGTGCTGTCACCTCGCTTGGCTGGAGAGTCAAGCTACAGTTCTACAGTTGTCAGAGGTGAAGGATGCTGGACAACTAACACATCATTTGAAGGGCAACTGAGGTGGTGGTTCTTGAAGCAATGGTCAAACAAACAGGGAGGTGAGCTGTAGTTTGTTACCCCAACAGACAAGCAGGCCAGAGCTCTGGGAGGAATTTTATAGCGATGCTTTCCAAACGTCTGTACGACAATAAGAAAAATGACTTTTTGGTCAGCCTGGAGAGGTTGAGTCAAGGCCAGCCTGGACCATATAATAAAGAGTTCCAGGACAGTCTGGGCTACAGCACAGGACTTCTGAAGGGGAGGGTGAAGAAACTTTATAATGAGTGCAGTGCTAGTAATAAGCTGGTTTGTGAGATAAAACTTCTCGAAGAAACGTTGTAAACCATCATTGGGTGGATGGTCCCTGGGATGCAAAGTTGCTTCCATCCATTGCTTTTCCTGAGCTCAGTTCCTACTGTCAGACATTACTAACTTTTATGACAAACTAGCTTTAATGTATCTGACATACACTCTTATAGTTACCCAATGCAAACAGTTTTGTTCAGTTTTGAACCAAGAACAACAGCCATGCTCTGGAGGTCTTCACCAACTCTTCCTGAACCTGGCTGCCTTGTCGTTCACAGAATGCCCTCATACACCCCTTTCATAGTCTGTTCTCTCTTGGCATTTGCTTGTGAGAATCAGAACTCTCACAGTAATAAAGATGCAGGACCCCACTCTTTCCTCTACAGCTTTGGAACGGTCTGTGCTCTTTCTGCAGACAATCTCTTACTGTTTGTAGGTGTATGGTTGAACTAAATTGGAAGTTTTCCATTTTCCCCTTTGTAATGACAGAGTGGAGATAGTTCAGTGTCTATAAAATGATCTATTGTTTTAGGGCAAGTGTAACAATTTAGAATTGAAGTTTTCAGACTACATATAGAGGAATATTTGCTATCATTTAGTAAATCCGCACTGGTGTATGCATGATCATTATGTGTAGATGGGGCTATTGATGGACTAGGGGGAGGAGTTGCATGTACAAAGTCCAGCTCAAACACCTGGCCAGGCAAGTCTGTCTGCTCTCTGGTTTTGATCTCAGCCCCTCTTCTGTGGCCTCGGTTAGTTTTTCTGTCACTGCATTGTCAGTCACCCCAAGCTAAGCATTTCCTGCCAGGTAGCTAAGAAACAGGAAACACCATATGCTTCCTGACTTGGGTGGTGGCACATGACCGAGGGGCAGCCAGGGAAAGCAAACACCTATCGCTGCATGGGATTTGCTGACCTGGTCAATGAGATTGTGTTTTTCAGCAGGATGACCCAGTCACGAGTCAAATTTCTGTCTCCACTCAACTAGTGACTACGGGGAATGCACTGTAGCATCTTTTCTGGAACCTGATTTAATAAGTCAGAAGAGACAAACACAGGTTTATTCAGGGAAGAGAAAGGTACACCTTGCATAGCAGCAAAGGGATATGCAAACATTCTTTTTTTTTTCTAAAGCTGGATGAGGCCAAGATTCTAGAGAGTTGTGGAAAATTGTAAAGCTGTGTTTTTGTTTTTCTTTTGTTTTTGATTTTTTTTTTCAATTTATAGAAGTGTTTATTGGGGCTTATAGTTACAGAAGAATAAGAATTCCAATGTTGGCAGCTTTAGCTTTTTTCCCCAGGTTTTAGTTCTTGACTAAAAATTTGATTGCTTCAGCTCCAAGTCCCCATCCCCGACTTCTCTTATTTCCATTTTCTTTCAAGGCCCTGAAACCATGCAAAGAACGGGCAGGAACGTAGCAGGCATGGCTGCTAGAGCAGCAAACTAAGATCTCACTTCTTGACTTGAAGGCAGAGCAGAGAGAGAGCAGCTGGAAATAGCATGTCTTTAGACCCTAAGGCCACCTCCAGTGACACACTTTTCCAACAAGAGGGCACAGCCTCAGTCTTCCCACCAACTGCAGAATAAGTGTTCAAATACTTAAGCCTATGGAGAACATTTCCACTAAATCAAACCACTACACGATGTCTTACTCTATTTTGCTATTTAATCCCCACTGCCAGTGGGTACCTAAAAATTTTGCTGCATTTAACTGATCAATTTGAAGCCGTGTTTTTGATAGAGAGGAGTGTGGTCATTTTAGTTAAAGGGAGGACTTACAGATTCAGCTTTGAGGCAAATAGAAATATTTATGAATAGGAGCCATGAACTTAGATAGATACTAGGCTCCTAAATAGTACATAAATTTACAGATTTTATATGACTATAAGAAAAGACATTTAAATTATTTTAATACAGATTTCTCTTAAGGGAACAGAAGAGAGTCTTGATTTCTGTAGCCTCCCCAGGACAGCTCTCTGCCACTTCTCCTGCTGGTACCCACTTGTGAGGATGAGGCAGTGTTAAGATTGTGAAACAAGAAGTCTTGTTTCCAGGTGATGGACCGTACAATGTAGACATTGAAAATGGGGGACTGGGATGAAAGGTGAATCTGAACAACCATGTCCTCTGCTAGTCAAGCCACGTGGGCGAAGTTAGTCAATCATGTCAAGTTCCAGTTTCTTTGTGTGCTAAATGGGGGTAAATATTAGCGCCTACCGTGAAGGGTTTCTGCCAGAACTAAATGGGTGCGGCTTGGGCACACTGTTAGGAACATTCTATGCTGGCCCATGTTCAAAAAGACTGATTGGATGGCTTACTGAGAAATCCCAGTACAACACTCTGATTATGACTAAATTGTTCACAAATGGGCTGATTATGACTACCTAAAGTTCTTCATTAAATTAGCAACTTTGATGGCTTAATCCCAATTCATGGTTGGTGTAATTAGCTTTTAGCACAGAACAGTGTATAGTTCTGGCAGGGGAATCAGAAAGACAAAACTATTCGGTGCATTCTGAATTAGGAACAAGACCTTCTGCAGTTGTTTGAGGATTGAGAAACATAGGTAAGTGCTTCTAGAATAGAGAATCAGTGCTTAGAAAATAGACTTTTCTATTTTGTCAACAGTTACTAGTTTTTTTTTTAATAATGATAACTGATATAAAAGATAAAATAAGTGTGTGGGGGTGGATGAATGTTCCACGTTAGATTGTGAGCTAAACCTAAAGTCTAAATCAAAAAGTTGTTAGACAATTAAAACTCCTGTAAGTACGACCGGTTTAAAAATAGACAGGGAGTGTTTAACAGTATTTGAATTTAAAGTCAATGAAGTTATCCGTGTTCACTTTAGGGTTCACAGATTTTTTTTTTCTGGTGTTTTATTTTTTTTTATCATATAAAAATGAAATTGACAGGATAGAAAATCAAAATAACGCTATTCTCTGTAACTGAGGTTAACCCTTAAGCAAGGATCGCCCCCGCCCGGGTACCCACTCTTTGGCTAATGTTTCATTGACCTCTATAAGGCTGGTGTTTTTAGAATACCAATGAAATGATGACTCTGAACTCTCAAAGATGATTTCGACTGGCGCAGAAAACATGAAGAACTCATTTGACGTAAGCCTTCGTGCCTGCCTGGCTAACTTGCAAGCCCCATTCCACTGAACAGTTGGAAACTGGCTTACTCCTGAAGACTTTTCTACAAAGAATTTCCATATGCTTGAGTTTTCAGGCTCATTCACTGTTCAGAAGAATTTATTAAGCGTGTATCCTGTACTGTGTGCTGGCGATACTGCTGTCACTGCTGGTCCCCATCCTTTTTAGCTTAATGAGCCAGAAATAAGATGTGGTTAAGCTTATTCAAGAATATACTTCATTCTGACATATTTCTTTAGATACACGGGCAAACGGATGCCCTGACAGTTTTGTTTCTATTAAATTAGGAATTTTGTGCTCAGGCTAATATGAAGTTCCATAGGTCAAAAATATTTCTGGTGGGTGGAAAGAGAGCTCAATGGGTAATATCACTTGCTGTGCAAACACAAAGACCTGAGTTCAGATCCTAGTACCTACAGAAAAGAACAAAATTGGTTACTGGGCTACCTCAAGGTTCAGCAAGAGATCCTGTCTCTAAGAAATACAGGAAAGGGTGATAGGACAGGACAGCCGGCAGTCCTCTCTGGCCTCCTTGTGCAAGCACAGGTGTCTGTACCTGCACACACTTATGGGCATGCACCATACACATTACACTAAAATTAACATGCGCACACACATGCATGCATGCACGTGCACACACACACATTCCTTTAATGTAAGTTAAACTCTCAAGGCGTTCATTTGCTCCTCTCTCTCTCTCTCTCTCTCTCTCTCTCTCTCTCTCTCTCTCTGTGTGTGTGTGTGTGTGTGTGTTGTAAGCTATTTATCAGCTACACTGTTTCAATTAGAGCTATTTTCTCTGTTAAGCCCCAGAATAATAAGCAATTTCTTAATCCCTGTGCTGTAGCATAATTACTTAGTTTTCCATTTTATTTTGATTCTTTAAAGCTAATTTAACATCAAAATTAATGAAAAAAAAAACACATTGAGTAGAAGGCCAGTTTTGTTTCTGCTGGGAAGAAGTGATTAATCTTTTACTTCCTGCTTCTCCACCTACATTCTTTCAAAAGCACAAATAATTTTCCTGTCAGAAACCTCCTAAATCTCATAAAATTCACAATATACACTGACAAGATGCAGGAAACTGGCTCAGTCCCAGAAAGTGGGTGACATGTTTATATGCTCAAATTCACAGCTTCTTTTATTTTTGTTTCTTCTACTCTTTTTGATTTAAAGTCTGTTTTGAGTAGCGGTATATGCAGTCTTCTTATTAAAGGCCCCAATAGAATGTCAATTCCTGGCAAATACTTGCACCATTATAGCAGGGCACAGTGGCCTTTGAATTATTGGCTGTCTTAACACCTTTCAATGAAGCATTGTTCTTGTCCTCTGGGATAAGGTAGAGGAGATGGTGAGGAGGGAAGGCAAGGAGAGTGCTCTGGGAATTGTCAAATGCTATTGTTTCCAACGTGGGAGTTGGGAGTTTGTTTACAGGTGAGTGACATAATGTAACGAAGAAAGCACAGAATTAAAAGCTAAAAGCAATACCTGGCGTTCCAGTCAGTGGGAAATTGACACACGTAGCTGCCCTTCCTTCTGTTCTTATAGCTTCTGCGTCCCACTGGGTGACCCTCCATGCCACAGGAACTATCCTCCCCCCTACCTCAGAAATGCATTGCTTCCTCTTCCTCCTCCTCCTTCCCTTCTGCTCTCCAATCAACCCTCCTCTTTCTCTCCATCTTCCTTCTCCTTCTTCCTCCTTTTACCTCTCTCTCTCTCTCTCTCTCTCTCTCTCTCTCTCTCTCTCTCTCTCTCTCTCCACACACACACACACATTGTAAAGACTGACCATATACCAAAGTTAAACTCACCTAGGTATGAACACACATAAAACCCACCGAAACACACACACACATTTTCCAGCATTATCCTTTACATGATTAGCATATATTAAATAAGGTAATGCAAGGTTAGAAAAACAAAAATACCTTATGTTCGTGTGTGTGTGTGTGTGTGTGTGTGCGTGTGTAAGCTAGTCTCCTTTAAATATACATGTCCTGGTAGCGGTAGACACAGTAAAGGCCAGGAGACTAGAAGCAGCCCAGGGGACTATGTAAAAAGGAAGATTTAAGAAAGTGAGGGGAAGCTTCTTCTTCTTCTTCTAGAAAACACCAAATGGCGGATGACGCCGGTGCAGCGGGAGGGTCCGGAGGACCCGGGGGCCCAGGATTAGGAGGCCGTGGCGGCTTCCACGGAGGATTCGGCAGTGGTCTGAGGGGCCGCGGCCGTGGTCGAGGCCGTGGCCGAGGGCAAGGCCGCGGGGCTCGCGGAGGTAAAGCTGAAGACAAGGAGTGGATTCCCGTCGCCAAGCTGGGCCGCCTGGTTAAGGACATGAAGATCAAGTCCCTAGAGGAGATCTACCTGTTCTCCCTGCCCATTAAGGAATCTGAGATTATTGACTTTTTCCTGGGAGCTTCCCTAAAGGATGAGGTTCTGAAGATCATGCCCGTGCAGAAGCAGACTAGGGCAGGCCAGCGGACCAGGTTCAAGGCTTTCGTTGCTATTGGGGACTACAACGGTCACGTAGGTCTCGGTGTCAAGTGCTCCAAGGAGGTAGCCACTGCCATCCGTGGGGCCATTATCTTGGCCAAGCTTTCCATTGTCCCTGTGCGGAGAGGCTACTGGGGGAACAAGATTGGCAAGCCCCACACTGTTCCTTGCAAAGTGACAGGTCGCTGTGGTTCTGTGCTGGTGCGTCTCATCCCTGCCCCCAGAGGCACTGGCATAGTCTTTGCTCCTGTCCCCAAGAAGCTACTGATGATGGCTGGCATCGATGACTGCTACACATCAGCCAGGGGCTGCACTGCCACCCTGGGCAACTTTGCCAAGGCCACCTTTGATGCCATCTCTAAGACCTACAGCTACCTGACCCCCGACCTCTGGAAAGAGACTGTGTTCACCAAGTCTCCTTATCAGGAATTCACTGACCATCTTGTGAAAAACCACACCAGAGTCTCTGTTCAGAGGACCCAGGCTCCAGCTGTGGCCACCACATAAGGGTTTTTATACAAGGAAAATAAAAGTGAATTAAGTCTGTTAAAAAAAAAAAAAAAGAAAGTGAGGGGAAGACAACAGAAGAAAATGAAAAGAGGAAGTGCTGGAGGTAAAAAGGTCCCCTGGTGAAATAGCGCGGGGTGCAGGGAGATGGATGGGGCCATAATTAAATATGTGTGGAGGCTCCATATGAAATTCCCGCTGACTTTTTACTCTACCCATTGCCTGGCCTTCCTTCTGTTCCTTTGACTTCTCTGTCTACTGGGTTACTACACATACTCAAAAATCCCATTCACCACTGCAGCCATCCTCCCAATACTCCCTGACTTCACCTGCACACAGAAGGTAAACAGTTAAGATTTATTCCGTGACTCATTTCTTTAGTTCTCGTTGTTTAATAACCCTTTGAGAGGGTGGAAGACAGTATTAAGACCCCACACAAGAAGAAACAGCAGAGCTAGCCTTATGTGGAATAGACCTCCATTGACTTGGGCTCCACGATTCCAGGTCCTCTTGCTTTTCTACTTCATATCAAGTCATTTTTTCTCATTAGTTCATCAGCCCATATTTTCCTTTTGATCTGTTACAGCTGTACATGTTTACCTTAGACTGTTCTTTTTTCCTTTCAGACAGAGTCCTGATATGTGGCTCTGGATGGCCTAGTCCTCAAGATGCCACCCAGCTTGGCCTTTACTCTGAATAATCCTCTTGCCTCAACATGTGCTTGTATGTGTGCATTTGTGTGTGGGTGTATTTGCATGTGTGCGTGTGTGTGCATGCGTGTGTGTGTGCTTGTGTGTGTGTGTAAGTGTGTGCGCATCCATGTGTGAATTTTTTAGGCAGGATCTTATTCTGTATCTCAGGATGGCCCAGAATTCACTTTACAGTAAAGATTTGCTTTGCATTCATGGCGGTCCCCCTTCCCTAGCTTCCAAAGCCTGAGATTGCCGACATCCCTCACCATGTTTAGAATACTGTATTTCTTTACGTTTTAATCTTAAATCTCCCATTCTCCAGATACCATACTTTCTCAATAAGGCTTGGATTTATCAAATTTCTGAATAAAAATTATCTCCACAGTGCAGCATATATCGACCAACATGCTTACAACGGACATAAAGCAAAAGTGACTTTAGTAAAAGAGGGTTCCGTCCCTGGTTTAACTCACTCTCCTTTGCCCCCGTCAGCCTCCTTTCCACCTCCTTAACATTTCCCTTCAGAACTTCCCTCCCTGACAGCGACTTTGGATTCCCGAATACACTTCTAATGAATAAGGCTTTTTATGAAAGAGATCCAAGACACCGGAAGCAATAGAAAGCCTTGAGATCAGATCACTCCACACGATTGCTCCTCCTGAGTGCAGGCAATTGCTCCAAGACAACAAACAAGAAGGCACGCCTCTGAGAGTAATCATCACGTGGTTGCCCTCGGTCAAAGACATCAGTCCTTCAGCGACTACATTTCCAGACTCGTGTGGCAGAAACAGTCCTGAGATAATGATCAGCTAGACTTGGGCCCTGACCCCAGTTCCCTGCTACGTCAGCTCTGCCTATCCTTGTTCCTTGTCTCTATTCCTCTTTTCTGCAAAACTGAACTTTCCTGTCAACCCCTCAAACACAGCTGGGGTCGTGGAGTCAGCAGAAGCGGAGCAATGTAGCCACAGTAGCAGGAGCAGTTCCCTGTCTTAGGGTCCTTAATTACACCCCAGAAAGGGATTTGAGGACGAATCTGGGTGAAGCAAGTATAGAAGATTAATAAGTAGAGATCAGAGAGAGAGTAAACGACTTGGGGTTTCAGCTCAGTTTTAGAGAGAGCTAGCTGCACGTGGGTGTCTTCACAGCGGCAGCGTACAGGATTCTGTGGGTTTCAGAGTTACATTGTTCAAAGGGTATAACTTACTACCATGTTTAAAGTTTAAGCGAAGCTTAAAAATTAAGTACAAACTATCTGCTGATTATTTAATTTTGAATTGTGAGGCGGTTTTCTGAGGCATGTTATTTAGGGTTTGCGCAAGGGGGAAAAGTGCTGACATGGCTAAACTCAGTCACAGACGTTCTTCTCGATTTGAGCACCCTTGCATGAGATGTCTTTAGAAAAGTGGGACTTGTCCCTATAGTAATTTAGATTTTTTTTTCCAGTTGTGTTGAGATTTCTGACCCTGCAGCAGGGTTCCCGAGGGAGGGTCTTTTCTCCTTTCGATGCCCTATGACCTTTTTACACGCCCCGTTCTCTGGAGCCTCTTTATCTGTCTCCGTCAGAACTTCTTTCGCTCATTTCTACGCTGCTTGCCTCTCTGACAGGGCTGGAGTGGGGGTGGTAGTGGGAGGGTAGGGGGGTACGGGAGTATGGGGGTGTCTGGACGGATGACAGCACTAGCTGTGGGGGGTTCAGGGCCAAGGGCTTTTGCCCTGAAATCCCATAATATTTTTTAAAATACGTTTTAAGGAGAGAATGGCAGTTTTCTGCAGACCCGTGTATTTTGGCTAATTCCTCATTAGCCTGTTGCCCATCTCACTAACAATATTGACTTACATGCAAGATAAAAGCATAGGAATTTTTTTCTTAAGGAAAAAAGAAATAAAAAATCCTATTTGCTTTCTTTTTTTTTTTTTTTTTTTTTTTTTTTTTTTTTTTTTTTTNTTTTTTTTGGTTTTTCGAGACAGGGTTTCTCTGTGGTTTTGGAGCCTGTCCTGGAACTAGCTCTTGTAGACCAGGCTGGTCTCGAACTCACAGAGATCCGCCTGCCTTTGTTTGCCTCCCGAGTGCTGGGATTAAAGGTGTGCGCCACCACTGCCTGGCCCTATTTGCTTTCTTTAACTTTGCAAAAGTAGACCTCAAAGTCTCATCGCAAGAGTCCAGTATGTGGTTCTCAGTGTATAGCAAGAGAATTTCTTTTATCCACAGCTAAGAGTGCCATTTAAATGAACTTTCCTTTAAAAAAATGGGGTGGGGGAGAGAAAGAAAAGAAAGCCAATTAAGCTTATTTTAAGTTTTCAAAATTTATTTCTTTTTTTAAAATAAATTTTTAACAGTCACAGATTAACAATATATTTCTGTTAAATAACCGGCTGAAACAGAGGTGATATTTATTTTTATGCAGGTATAGTTGATAGATTTAATTGAAATTTTCAAGATGATTTCATTAATGTTAAGAACACAGAGACATTATGAATACTCCATAGAAGTCACCCACATTAATAAGCCAAAGCACTGAAAATAAAAATATATTTGTTATATACACATATAAGAGTAATTTGTATGTATGCACATGCATTTTAAGACTAACAAAATATTATTTATTGGGTGACATGATTAGGCTCAAACTTAGCAACTACAAAATTATTAGGCAAATATGTTGATTCCTTGATCTCCTTTAGAGGTATAATATGGATAAAAGTATATTTCAATAAAAAGAATGAAATTTATGTATTTAACATGAAACCTATAGTTTGATTTTTGCTGCAATAATTCTCAATATTGGTTCAAATATCAGAGAAAGACTTTTCTTTGCAACAGATGGAAGACATTACAGAAAACCACAACTAATCAAAATGCAGAGGCATGGAACCCAGTTCCAACAGACGCATCTATAAAACATATCCACACTGACGGCTCAGGGAGCATTGCAGAGGAGGGGCAGAAAGTTGGTAAGTGCCAGAATATCAGGGAGTTTGCTATGGGGCTGTATCTCCTAGTAATGTCAATGGCTAGGCACACAGTCTCCCTACCGTGACTCCTAAACAGGAGCTGAACAAGGATGCCATCGATGGACAGGCTAAAGTGGATGCGTGAAAGCCCGGGAGACCTCAGCCCTACCCAAAGAACTATAGTAACTATGAAATGCTGACAGCAGGAAAAAGATTCTTCCTCATGGAAGAACACACCAAATGGTTATCCAATACCAAATGTTCAGCCTTGAAAACATGCATAGAAGTAACGCTATACAGACTGAGCAGGTTGTGTGTATGTATTTAGCAATGTATGCATATATATGCACATATATGTACATATACATATTTGCATCGCATGTAACAATGATTAATGAAATATGAGGCCATGAACTTGAAAAAGAGTAAGAAGCAGTATATGGGAAGGGGGCGACATAGTATAATTAAATTATGATGTCAAAATAGAAGGAATAATAAGAAAATGAGTATTCTATTTTCAACTACAATGTTAAAAAGTCTGTCCTTGTTTGTCTGTTTTGGGTTTTTCATGACAGGGTTTCTCTTTGTAACCCTGGCTGTCCTGTAACTAGTTCTGTAGACCAGGCTAGCCTCAAGCTCACAGAGATCTGCCTGCTTCTGTCTCGTGAGTGTTGGGATTAAATGTGTGCATTGCCAACTGCCTTGGTTTTTTATTTTTTGTCCTTGTCTTTTTGATACTGGTTAGATAAAAAAAAAAATCACCTAATTATCCTAAGTAAAAAGGCTGAAAACCACAACAAAATACTCAGTACTTCTCTCCAAGAAACCAGATTCTCTGCTACCATGGAAACGCAGACCTCTCAAAGGCTCAGATCATCTTCTGGAGCAAAGAAGCTGATTTCTGCGCAGAGTTCTTCCTTTTCCCATCAACTTCTCATGGTAGCTTGCCTCAGAGCTCTCCTGAACTGAGTCTCAGGATGGCTTCCAATGTGGCTAGATCCTCCTTCCCTTCCCAGGTCAACGATCAGTTGAAATATCCCAAAATTTCTTTTTGATTCGATTTTCCTAAAGATTTTTATTTCTTTTACATTCAATAATCTATCACTTGCATTAAAAACATTTCCCCTTAACCTTCATAAGAAATATTTAACAGAAGAAAATGTGATTTCTGAAAAACTTTCTAAGTGGGTTTGTTTTGGGGCCATTTTCTTCTTTTTTTTCTTTCTTCCTTCTTTCTTTCTTTCTTCTTTCTTCCTTCCTTCCTTCCTTCCTTCCTTCCTTCCTTCCTTTCTTTCTTTCTTTCTTTCTTTCTTTCTTTCTTTCTTTCTTTCTTTCTTTCTTATAGATTTCTGCCTCCTCCCCGCCACTGCCTCCCATTTCCCTCCCCCTCTCCCAACTAACTCCCCCTCCCTCAGCAGCTCGAGGGAGCAATCAGGGTTCCCTGCACTGTGGGAAGTCCAAGGACCACCCACCTCCTTCCAGGTCTAGTAAGGTGAGCATCCAAACTTCCTGGGCTCCCACAAAGCCAGAACGTGCAGTAGGATCAAAAACCCATTGCCATTGTTCTTGACTTCTCAGCAGCCCTCATTGTCCGCTATGTTCAGCGAGTCTGGTTTTATCCCATGCTTTTTTTAGACCCAGTCAGGCTGGCTTTGGTGAGTTCCCAATAGACCATCCCCATTGTCTCAGTGTGTGGGTGCACCCCTCGCGGCCATTTTCCTTAGCAAATATTAAGCAAACCTTACCTACTCATTTTGTGACAACACTCCTTTTGAAGGGCCAAACACCTTGCTGAGTGCTTCTCCTCTTAAGGCCCCCAGTATAAAAGTTGGAGGTGGAAACTTCCACAATGAACTGGTCTTTGTTTAATAAAGTTGACCAATTTTGAATTCATCATTTTAATGTTTTTTATTTCATACTGGAGAGTTTTTCATGCCAGTTGCTCTCTGGGGAGTAATCAGTGAGTTGTCCATGAATTTTTGTAGGGCGCCATCCACACAGAAGCCAATGCAGCTCTTGTAATATATAATCTTTCTGTTTTTAGATACGATGATAAACATCAAACTATCTTGTCTTTTGCTGTTTTGGACAGCGCCACGCAGTGCTAAAACAGGTGCTACTTTATGACAACTATTGGTGAAGTTTGTTTCTACATCAGTCTTGGCTGAGAAACTACTGTTTTCAAGGTGCTACAATCAAATATTATTGGCATTAAGAGACATGTCATCAGTACTTGGACACTCATCTGGCTGAGATGGAGAACCTCTTTAGCTTCTTGGATGGAATCCAGTTCTGGAATTTTCTAAATTACAATGACCTCAGTTATAGTCTCAGCAAGTACAGTGATCTGAGGTGCAAGGTGGGACCGGGGATGTTTGGGGGGGGGGGACAAACACGCCATCAGACAGAGCTTACATGGGAAGGAAGTTTATTGGGGAAGGGAGGGGTCTGAGAGGAAGAAAAGAAAGAGAGAGAGAGGAGAGAGAAAGACAGAGACAGAGGCCTGCCTCCTCAGAGAAAAGCAAAGAGAAGAAAGCGGGAGTGGGTGGGACTTGTCTCTTAAAGAGACCTTTGTATCCGGCACAGAATCAGGGCACTTCCTGCCATGCATGCAGGGGTGGCCTCTCTGCCTCTGCTGGGTCCCCCAAGGGGCAGGGCCAGGTTTGTGTTTGCCTGGACAATAAGAGCAAGGATGCAACTTATCCTTTCCTGAGCAGTAGATATACGTGACCAATCCCTATTTAACTTACTCTTTAAGCCTTTTCATTGGGTGTGGCTGTTTTGTCAAAAAAAAAAAAAAAAAAAAGCTCATTCTGCTTGTTTGAGTCTCAAACCTTTTTTCAAATAGGCAGCACCTTACCAGGGTGGTGGCACGTCCCTGTTAGCATCTGAAAGGTGGAAGCAGGAAGATCAGGAGTTCAAGGCCAGCCTTGGCTTCATAGTGAGTTCAAGGGCAGTCGGAACCCAAATAAATAGAAAAATACATACAGATATACATATAAACAGACACACCAGAACAATATTCAGCGTCTTTACTTGTGAAATGCGTGTGAGTTATACATCCTTTCAGTTTTGCTCATTCTGCCATGTATTTTCCACTGTGTGTGCATGGCAGAATAGGACAATGGGGTGGACTATTCCAGGCATGGGTAAGTAGCTTTCATTGCAAAGATGACCCTTTGGTTATTTTGCTGCCCTTGTACATTGGATTGACCCAGAGTATTGAAATTCTGCATCATTGAGCACAAAGTACCTGTCCATGGGCTGTGCTTAGGATCCTTCTCGCTCCTACACACAGTGTTCTATAAGCATATTGTGCTCTCAGACATATTTATGAAACACAAAACTAAACAGAAAGGATTAATACATCAGAAATATTAAAAAGAAATTGCCTAACTTAGCAAGGCTACCCAACTCATTTTTAACCTACTTGGTTCATTTTTTTGGGGGTTATTTGCCAAAGAATGAAAACACAAGGCCAGGCATGGAGGTACATGCCTTCCATCTCAACGCTGGGTAGGTCAAAGGCAGGTGGATCTCTTGAGTTCGAGGCCAGTTTGGTATTCATAGTGAGTTCCGGGCAAGCCAGAGCTATTCTGTGAGATTCCATCTCTAAACAGTAACAACAAAACAAAAGAAATCAAAGAAATCAACAAAACAGTGGGGGTGATATTCATCTTGGTGTGTGTGGGTATATACCTTAGACTGAAAATATTTTTTTATTGGGTATTATGCTGGTTGGGTCACTTGCATCCCTAGTTGTCTGGCTTATGTATAAAACGAGATAAGAAATGTATAGAAAAGTTTGACATTCACCCTATGTCCTCCTTTTATTTTGTGCAGAAAACTGGGTATTTAAGGGCTAAGAACAGATGTCCCCAGATGCCCAGGGTCCTGTGCACTGCTGTAAGGTGTGGGAAATGCTCTAACACAATTGCCAATAGGAACATCTATTCACAGGCCATCATGTAGCACAAGATGTGAAAAAAAATGATGTTTAATATCTTTTCAGTCACCCTTCCTCAGGGAAGCCCTCCTGACCTTTCACAGACCCTTTAGATGGCAGAACCTTTTATGAGACAATCTAATTCACTTCCATGGCTTCACTCCTTATCTTTCTGGACACGTACAATCCTCTCTTACAATCTCCGTGTGGACATTTCAGAACAGCAAACCCGGTGTGCCCAAACACAAATCCCCGACTGTGTCTATCTGCTTCCAAAAGGAAAATTATGAGCCCCTTCCAGGGTTGTCAGTCCCAGGAAATGATAACAATGTCCATAAACTGTGCATATAAAAAAATCTAGGATACTGTTTCTCAAGCTTCCTAATTCTGTGACCTTTTTAGTCCGGTTTCTTAAGTTGTAGTGACCCCCCTCCCAAACATAAAATTATTTCTGTTGCTACTTCACAACTGTAACTTTGCTACTGTTATGAATTTATGCTGTGGGATAATACTCTTTTACATTGTAAAAATTTGTCATGTGTATTGGTTTAATAAATCACTGATTGATCAGTAGCCAGGCAAAGAAGTATAGTTGGGGTGACCAGACTAGGAGAATTCTGGGAAGAAGAAAGGCAGAGATGTAGCACAAGACAGATGCAGAGGAAATAAGATGAGAAGGCCTTACTGAGAAAATGTACAAAGCCACATGGATAAACATAGATGAGAATTATGAGTTAATGAATTGATTTGTTTTTTATTGATTTTATTGAGCTATACATTTTTCTCTGCTCCCCTCCCTTCCTCTCCCCTCCCCTTCAGCCCTCTCCCATGGTCCCTATGCTCCCAATTTACTCAGGAGATCTTGTCTTTTTCTACTTCTCATGTAGATTAGATCCATGTATGTCTCTCTTAGAGTCCTCATTGTTGTCTAGGTTCTCTGGGATTGTGATTTGTAGGCTGATTTTCTTTGCTTTATGTTTAAAAACTACTTATGAGTGAGAACATGTGATAATTGTCTTTCTGGGTCTGGGTTACCTCACTCAATATGATGTTTTCTAGTGTGAATTATGGACTAATTTAAGTTGTAAGAGCTAGTTAGTAATAAGCCTGAGAAACAGGTCAAATAGTTTATAATTAATATGAACCTCTGTGTGTTTATTTGTGACTGAATGGCTGTGGGACTGAGTGGGATGGAAACTCCATCCATAATCCTAATGCAAATACTGTGTTTTCCGATGGTCTTAGGTGACCCCTGTGAATAGGTCATTCAGTAACCCCAAATGGTCAAGAGCCAAAGGTTGAGAACTACTAACCTAGGAGTTGCTCTGCTCTGCTCTTAGGCTGTCTTTCTCCTGTGCTAGGCTGACTTACCCTCCTTTGCTCTCCCAGCATCAGCAATTGCAATTCCTGTCGCTTCTGTTTCCTGACCATCACTGAGGTGAGAGCCTGTCCTTCACTCTCCTGCCCACTCCTAGTCAAATTAGTCATCATTTTTTCAGACTTAACAGAGTCCCTGAGATGGGCTTCCTCACCTACCACAAAGTCAGTCCAATCCACTCTTCATTTTGTGCCAAGTAAATGATTCTGAAGATGCAAACTCTTACCAGGTGTCCTTTGTGAGTTTTCTCTGTTTGTTTGAACCGGTTACGAGAAGCTCCCTGCAGCTCAGGACTGCTGCACTGTTTCAGGGCACTCGCATCCCACTTTGATTCTGCCTTCATTTCCAAAGAAGCTACGAGTTTTTCATTGCCATATTCTTCATCCTAATTTCATTTATAGAAACTCTAAGGATCAAGTTGGCAGCATCATTGGCTGGATATTAGCTGCCCTTGAAGACCTGCGATCACTCTTGGGAACCTGGGGATACATTGAACCTCCAGCATTAACAAGTGGTAGAAATAACTGATGTGATGAACGTTTAAAAAATGAATAATTCGCCATTTTGCTCCATTCATGCTATGCTTCTCAAGTTTAGGAAAGGAATAAAATCACCACAATAATTACGTCTTAGCTATTTTTGTTAATCGAACTTTTCGCTACGATCAAATTTTTTAATATTTGAAACCTGTGTAACTACGCATTTTTTTACCATCTCATGCGTACATTTTATGTGATTAGGATGCAGTTCTGAAACTGCAGCAGTGAAGGAGCCAACAAAGTGGCATTAAAATTATTAAATTATTATCTGTAGCTTGAGTTTATTAATATGAGGATGTGATTTGTAAGAACACATAAAATAGTGATTTGAGGTAGCACTGTACCTGCTGAATATTGAATGCCTGCTAAGTATAGGAGGGCGTGGTTTTAAAACTACAAAAATAATACAAAGGTTGCTCTATGGTCTTATTTTTTTTCACATTATTGGAAGATATTTTGAAGACAGTATTTTCTGTAAAAAATACCTAAAAGCGCAATTTTAATAAATTTATCTGTCCAAATTACTGCTTATTTTGGGGGGGGGGTTTGGAGACAAACCAGCAGGGCTATGAACTTAGCACTTTCCTCCTGGGATTCAAGGGCACACGATTCAAATTGAGTCAGCATATCCATGTGTAAAGGGACTGTTCATCCAGAGGACACGGATGTTCATTTTGGCTTCAGTCCTTCCAGACTGGATACATATCAAGATTTCTTCTGTGTTGTTACTGTTAATTATTAGTTCTGGTAAAAATTAACGAATAGTGTTATTCTAGCTTGAAATCCCTCAGACTGACCACTCCTCTCAAAATAAAAGCTAGGATTTGAACATCAGTGATTTTAAGTAAGAAAACAAAAAACCAATTCCTAGGCTTGGGGAGATGAAAGCAGGTAGGAGAAATGGAACCATAGCCCCCCCCAAATCCTACTTAAATCCCAGGAAGGCATGTCAGCCTGCCTGTGATACTGTTTCTCAGAAGGTGGAGGCAGGAATGACCCAAAAAGGCTGGGTAGGTAGATTAGCCTAACCAGTGATATCTGTGTGAGATCAAGACACCCTGTCCTCAATAGATAGGGTGGGAAGCACCAAGGAAACCACACTGACATCAGCCTTGAGCCCCCAAAACGTTACTCTGTGCTGATTACTTTTCATTGTCAACTTGACACAATCGAGAATCATGCAGGAAGACAGCCTCCGTCAGGGATTGCCCACATCGGGGTGACTTGTGGGTATATCTGCGGGGGTTGTCTTGATTGTCTGGACTGATGTGGGAAGGCCCATCCTAAGTGTGGGTGGCACCTTCAGGTGGTGGCCCAGATAAAGGGATGTGGAAGAAGAAGAGCTTTTTGCCACTTTGCTTCCTTGAGTTTCTCTTTAGCTGTGAGTTCAACTATTCTTTTACTGCTGATTGGTTTGTTAGAAAGAGCTTCTTCAGTTTTCCACCGTAGTCTGAAGGCCAGTGGCTCCTCGGGAATCCTTACTGGGACCTCTGAGAAGACCAGCATCATATTCTGAACAACTACCAGCTTCTCAGGTTTTTTTTTTTTTGTCTGATCCAGGTATCATTAGACTAAACACACCACGTGAGCCAATCTAAGGAATTCTTCAGTGTGTCATGGTACTGGTTTTGCTCCTCTAGAGTACCCTCACAAGCTAGATTTTAGAAAAGCATAATTGCGTGTTCTTCAGAAAGGAATCTAAAATCAGAAGTGGAGAACAGGGTGGACTTTCAAGTCTTCTCTATATCTTTTAATCTCATCTTTCTACATGTTACAGATATAAGCTGCTGCCCTGCTAGGGCCCAACTACTTGCTGAGTGCCCAGATATAACCACATAAGTGGTGGAATCCTGTGGCCAGGACATCTGCCGGAGTGATAAAAAATTTGTTGTTAAGAGAAAAAGAACTCAGCAATCCTGTACACTGTGGAAACAGCCTCAAGACCTAAGGAGAAATAATGACATTTATCATCTAAACAAAAATTGTGGATCTGTGTTATCAGTGAATACACAGCAAGAAATATTAAAACAAGTTCTTCTGAGGGAAAGGAAGAGATACAGGTGGGGAACTCTGACCCCCCCAAAAGAAAGAGTATCAAGGGGAAACAAGTGGGAATAAAACCAAGTTTTTATTACTTTCATTCTTAATGGCCTATAACTTACAATAGTTTGTTAAAATGATAATAGCAACCATGTAATTGATTATATATGATTGCATGATTATACTTATAGCACTTACCTAAGCAGATAGGTAAGTGAAAGAGAATGGTATCAATGATATAATGGATGGGAACTAGGAATACATCATTATAAAGTATTTGTGCTATGGCAGCTATGTAATATTATTTGAAAGTGGCGTGGTTAGTTATAAGTCCATATTACAACCTTTACAAAGTGCAAAAAGAAGACTAACTGTTCTACTAAGATAGAAAATGGTGTAAAATTAAATGCTCAATTTAAACCTCAACAAGCAGAAAAGGAATAGACAACAAAGTGAGAGCAAAGAACTAGGTCCATGAATGAAATATGTCAGTAGGCAGGAAAGTCTTAATCTAGATGGATTGACAATCCCTTACCCTTCTGTAGTTTGAAAAATGTCAATTAAAAGATACGTGCCAGAGTGGAGAAACAGCCACACTGTCTGCTGTCTGTAGAGACTCCATCTGATATACAAAGACACATATAAGGTAAAAATAAAAAGATGGAGAAAGATTTCAAAATAAATCACATTAGCAACAGATCTTCCACAAGAGTAGATGTCAAAACAAGGAACCTTATTACACACTGGAAGGATCAGAATTCCGAGAGGACTTGGTGGCTGCACCCACATTAGCACTTGTTCTTTCTCTTTTGGGTTAGTTGTGTGGCTTTGGATAAGGCTGGTGAACTTTTGAGGCTCAGTTTATTAATTTGTACAGTGGTCAAGCCTTACCCACAGTATCGGGTACTGGTTGTAGGGGAAAGTTTGTATTTACACGTAGCAGATGTTTAAAGGGTCGGGTTCATTTTTGGAGTTCTCACATACTTTTTAGTTTTTCTCTAAGTCAAAGAATAAAAGTTTCTGGCAGAGCGAGGCCAAGTAAATGATGCAGTTTAGCAATGCCTTCCACTGTGAGAATCTTTCCATGTTGTGAGGTAAGTGTATCAGGGAAAACTCAAGGACCATAGGAATACTTTCAACTACCAGAAATCTCTCAATCTAGCTAGAGCAGTTAACTAAATCGATATTAACAAGGAAATCAAGTGATTCCCAAGGCAATGGTAGAGTAAGTATTTTTTTAATCCCAGCTAGTCATTCTAATTACTTTAGGTATTCCAGCCATCTTTCAACCATGTACATTATTAAAAGATAAATAAATATATTTGGTCTTGGAGAATCCAAAAGTAACGAGTGAAGGATTTATCTGATCAACTTGTCTTTGCTCATTCCCACATCAAAGCAGATATGACTGTCGAAGGCTCTGATTCTTATATAAAACAATAAGACTGTGTGTGTGTGTGTATGTGTGTGTGTGTGTGTGTGTGTGTGTGTAAGACCATCTACTGAATAGAGAATTCTGCCTTTGGGGAGGTTAAAACTTAATCTTTATGTTGAAAGACTTTCAAGTTTTTAAACTATGTACATAGAACAATAAGGTATTCATTTAAAAGGGCAGGCATTACTTTATTCTATGAACAAGGCTTAATAATGTTAGGCTACAGATTAAAAGGGAAATCTTTGAAGAGCGGCTTTGCTCCATGTAGTACACACAGTGCAAAGCAAGTCATCTTAACTGTACGAAGAAGACACATGTATCGAACAAACTTTCATTGTCTCTCTGTCTTTAGGCTAGGTAAGTTAGCAGAATGTTGTTTCATGAAGAGTGGCTGGTTTCTGCTCTGTTGAGAGGACACAGCAGCCAAAGCCTTTGCTTGGGCAACTGAGTTTGATCTAGGTTCTTCACTCAACAGGATTTAACCATCAAATGCAGTAAATAGTTGGTGAACTTAGGATTTAGACTTTCCATATGAGCGAAGAAAATAAAAGACCGGAAGTAAGATCTGCTCAAGTGGCAGGAGCAGTGGAGACGTAACTGAAATCACCCGCAGGGCAAGGGTCACACTCTACACCAGGGTCTGCTCCGAGCAACCCCCAAGTGCGAAGACTTTGCTTTTGCAAACAGACCAGATGCTAAGCCCTAAATGGTCCTGGGGCTGTTGATAGGAAGAGAGGCGCTACTCAATGAAGGTCGGGCCTTCACTGGAGAAATGAGGTAAAGTTGGTGACATGAGTGGCCAGGCCCAGAGCCACAATGTGCCTGAAAGAATGTGCCTGAAAGACTACAGATAGAAACGGAATTGTGTGGGGCTGAGTCATGGTGCCAGGAGACGAGGAGAGAAGTGAGGAAAGGGTGGTGACTGAGTTGGGAGACATAGTGAGCCTGTCTGTGCACAGAGGACACGTACAGGCCCCTTCCTTCATGCAGGGCCAGCGAGTGCTCTCCAGGCTCAAGGGCCCTTGAAAGGCGCCGTTCTGCCAGGCCAGGCTGAGAACCAAATGGAACCGTGCTGCTCTTCTACTTGAGAAGGTGCCACTTCTTGAAAGCTCAATTCTCTGCCTTCCAATTGTGAACTTTCAGCGTTGTTTCAACACAAACATGCTTTTATTTTCTTTATTTCCACCAACATCTTTACCTTGTGCCCAAATGTTTCTTTCTGATCTGTGCTATTTATATGGCAAAGAGAACATCTTTTTTACCCCTTCAGTCACTCACCAACAAACAAAAAGACATGGCATTTCTGAAGCTGGGGGAAATGCTGTCATTGAAGAAAACAAAACAAAACTGGACAGCAAGCTCATAAATTAAAAACACCATTGTTTAGAATACAAGACTGGCATTCTTAAGCTCTTTCGGTGAGAATCTATTAGCTCTTTTCAGACAGTTTTTGTATATTGTCTGCATGCTATTCTGGAAGCGCATCCCCACTGTCAGTCTCTAGTTGGGGAGGAAGTATCTAGTCTTTGAGTCTCCACCTCATGTCTGCTCTCCAGTGAATGTATTGCAGGTGTGAGGTGTGACTCTGCTGGTGAATGACTTTTTTGAGAGTGTTTTTTACTATCTTGGCAATCAGGAAATAATGTCTTGTGACTCATCACTGATACCAGAATTTTTTTTAATAAAATGTTTTATAACTGACCTTTGAGCTCTTTCTTTATATTCCCTTTAGATAGATGTTACTCTGGAGTTACTGCCCGAGTTGTCTGTAACCTTTATCAAGTAGACAACACCACACAGTCTAGACGAAAATCTGAGTCTCCTCGTCTTTCCTCATACATTCAGGAACACTCGGATTATATTCTGCTCCCAGTCGAGAGTGGTTTAACATGCCTAGACTAACTTCCCAACACACTGGTGACAATCCTGGCTCTCCGGCAGGATTCTCAGATTTGAATGTGCATGGGAACCATTTTGGTTCTCTTCTACAAGTCACTTAATCTCATCGACTTTATGTGATGCAAGAAATCTCTTCCTTAACCCTGGCTCAGGATTCCCTGGAGCTTTGCAGAAATGAGCTCTAGGCCCCATTCCTGGTCCACTGCATTGTTCAGACTTTCACCGCTCTGACAAACCCACGAGAGAAATGCCTTGAGGAAAGAGAAAGACTTAGGCTCACTGCTTCAGTGGGGTTGCTTGCTTCCCAGCTATGGGCTTATGATAAGATTATCATGGTATTAGGAACATGTGATGGAGGTGGGTACTTATTTCAAGCAGTCAGGAAGCAGAGAGAAGGTTAACAGGAAGAGGTCAAGGCCAAGGCCAAGATGCTCTGAGACTTACATACTCAGAAACCCATTGCTTCCAATGAGGCTCTCCCATCCATAATCCCCACCATTTCTCAATAGTCTCTAATTTTTAACTTGAAAATAGATTGGTTTTGCCATGCCCTCATGACCTAATAGTTTTTGGAAAGGTTCTCACAGACACAGCAAGATGTACATTTGTAGAAGGAGCTGTGGGCAGCCTTCCTGCTACCCAGCTCCCGGCTGTCTGGCTAGCTTATGCCCCGAAATAACAACACACAAACTGTATTCATATAAACACTGCTTGGCCCATTAGCTCTAGCCTCTTACTGGCCAACTCTCACATCTTGATTAACCCATTTCTATTAAGTAACCACGAGGTGGTGACTTACCAGGAAGTTCTAGCCTATGTCCATCTTGGGTTGGAGCTTCATCGTGTCTGACCCACTTCCCTTCTTCCCAGCATTCTGTTCTGTCTACTCCACCCACATAAGGGCTGGCCTATCAAATGGGCCAAGGCAGTTTTTTAATGAACCAATGAAATCAACAAAAACAGATTGACAGTTGATAATACTACATCATACATTCACCATTCAACTGCATAGCCCTCAATCTAATCCAGTTGAAAATTCAGATTAACTATATTCACCTATCTACATATTAATAAGATCCCAAGTAGTGCGTACGGAAGTTTGGGAGCCATCATACTGAAAGGCACATGGAATCGATGATGTAATGGCAGAAGTGGAAGCATAATTACCACATCTTGGTTGGCTCAATGTAAATTTATGGAGCAGTAGTTGTGGAATTGAAAGCAGGTACTGTTTAGGGGAAAATGATTATCTGCTATTTTGATGAACAATGAAGCAAAAAGTGTATTTTAAGGGATTCCAAAGAGCTTTCATTACATTTTGCAGTTTAAATCTCCCCTGCAACATTTCCCAGACAGTCAGAGATTTCTGCCATTAAGGGTCTTAAGGGATTAGAGGTCTGTGTAGAACAGGAATTCATTAACACAGTTCAGAGTCAATTCAACCAGCCATGACTTTCTGTACTGACCATGAACTAAGGGCAGCTTTGTGTATACTAAGTGCTAATAAGAGACATTTTTTTTCATGAAATATCAGTTATGTGAAATTCAAATGTCAAATTAAAAAAGTCAAATTTCAGTGGAACACCCAACCAGTGTTTGGCTCATTATGACCTGTGGCTGCCATCATATTCTCACAGCAGAGCAGAGCTGCAGAGATGGGAGTGCCATGACTTGCTAAGACAAAACATATTTCTGATCTCACATAAACACTTATGAACACCCACTGAGACCGTTCTGTTGACGTGCCCTTGATTTCTCATGTGGAAAACCGATTATCGTTTTTATCTTTCAGTGCAGGTACAATAACAGAAGTAGCATTCCATAGTAAATTAATAAATTTGCTTTACAGGTGCTTCAAGGGCAATATAAAATCATGTAATAGCAATTTTAACAAAACACAATGACAATCTCCTTCTGAAGGTAATTATGATGAATTTTAGAGTTCAAAAGTTAGAAAATGTAGTTCTGATAGTCTGTGTATGCAACACCCTGCTATTATTTTTTTCTAAGTGTAATTTCAGATGGCTAATCTATAACCCCACTTCCCAAGTCTTTTGGCCTTAAGAGCTCATCATACCCTTAAAAATTCTTTAACATCCGAAGGACTTTTATTTATTTGGGCTATATGCATCAATATTTTAAATTTAATGATTAAAATAGAGAACTTGTGAGTACATGTAATAATTGCCATTTTTAAAATAAAGATCCCAATTTATATTAATATCAGTAAGTTGAATTTTGTAATGAATAGCTCTATTTTCTGAATGGTGTTGCTGGGATTCCTTTGCAGATCTCTGAAACCTGTAGGGTTCCCTGTTTCATACATTGGAAACTATTTCTTTTGTTACTGAGGACGTAGTAATCCTGTATAACACACATACACAAACACACATCCAGCATTTGGATAGTAAAACTTGAGAGTCTCCAATGAAAATGGGTTTCAAAATTTTGCATTCAAACAGTCAAATTATGTGTTGGCTCAATTGACTTCTTTTATTTTATTTTTTATTTTGTTTTGTTTTGTTTTTCGAGACAGGGTTTCTCTGTGGTTTTGGAGCCTGTCCTGGAACTAGCTCTTGTAGACCAGGCTGGCCTCGAACTCACAGAGATCCGCCTGCCTCTGTCTCCCAAGTGCTGGGATTAGAGGCGTGTGCCACCACCGCCCGCCTCAATTGACTTCTTGTACTAATAGTGTTTCTGAGCTCTGTGTTTCAGAAGGTGGTAATTCTGTGTGAAAAATCAATCCCTGTTGAACTTGAGTGGCAGAACAAGAGTCTCCTCTTGCTGATTAGTAACTGCATTGCAACTTCTATGCCTGCCTTGTTCCTTTCCTAACAGTGGTGTGTATCTTCAGTTCTGAGCTAGCGCTGTGGCTCTCCTAGCCTTGAGTCAGGATTGATGGCAAAGTCACTTTTCATTCATGAATGCAGGAAACTGTTCAACCCATTATCCTCTTTCTCTGTTGTTGATGTAGTCCTGGCTTGAGTTTTGTGGCTTCTGCATATCCTGTATTTGTTCAGTCTCCTAAAACTCAAACTAGTT